TTGGGTTTTCGTCGCTTGGCAATGACGTTGTAAAACAAGCCAATTCGCTTCGTGAACTCGGCAACCAGGATACTGTTTGTTTTTTTTACCTCTGTTTTTCATTTGGCGGTAACCGTAATGGTGGTCGAGTACATTATGTTGTGCGGGGTGGACAACCCTCACTCCGCGCAAGGGGGATGATCGCACCACGTTGTGTTAAAATGGTCAAGCACCCTCGAGGCAGTTACACAGTGATTTCAACTGTCTCTGGAAGTGAAAGCACCAGAAATATATTTATTGATACGCAGCTGTCACCCGTACGCAAGGAAGTAAGCACAAGATGCCGAAAACCCTTAGCAGGATGCAGCGCACCCTTCATGCGACTCGCCGAATATCTCACGGCGCTTCGCGCTTGGTGATGTGAGAGCCTGGTCCGGTGAGAACCCGGCGTGCTCCGTCCCGGCTTTGTAGGGATGCGAGGTCAATGGTCTAACGACTACGGCATGCACGACTATGAGTACCCCCCCCCCCCACCGCCCGCCGCCCGCCTCCCGTCCGCATGACAGGTGTGGCCTGTTCCTACCAGGTGCTGGCACTTGTGGTGGTGGTCCACCTCTGGATTTGTAGATAATGGCCCCCGTATGTTCCCAGGTATATTTGTATGAAGGGTGTATGTTTGGTTCAAAAGTATCGGTCGTGCTAACCGGCTGACCAGTGAAAATTTTCCAGTGCCAGTGGAGGAAATATCTAAAGATCAAGGTCTCCTGGAAAAGGGCCATATTTCGAGGAATGGCGTCACGCAGAACCCACTAGACTATATGTCTCTCTACAAGCTAAACTATGTACCGAATATTCGCGTAACCCCCCGGATGTGTGTGCTTGTTGGATTTGCATCGACCACGCTAACCGGCAGACCAATGAAAAGATGCCAGCCTTTTGAGATGAATTCGTGAGCACGTTTTCTAGTGGAAGGGTCCTATCGTTAATGGGGCACAGTGTGTGTCGTTGTTGCTGGTATCGGCCAGGGTAGCCGGCGGATCAAAGAAAAATGTCGATATCGTGTGGTTAGAAACGAACAACACTCCTATAGGCGACGTTCTGGGACCCCGTGGGTGGGCGTCATGGGCCTGTGTTTGCTGTATTCCTACGATCGGCATCAATCTCTCTGACTGGTTAGCCGATGAGCGGATGTCAGTCTTGATGGATCGTGCGTGAGGCCAAACATGCTAGGATAGCTTGAAGGTATGGACGGTGCTATCATGCCTGCTCGCGAACGAAGTCTGGTCAATTTGGGCGAGCACTCAAGTGGCAGCAAACCTCCCAGAGTCTCTTGTGTGAGGTTGTCTGTGGATGAGCGAAACCTTCTCCACGCGGCCGCGAACCACGTGCCGAGAATCGTCGACATTTTCCCGGTCCACGCGGGGTCTTGCATGGCCACCCGTAGATCCTGCAGCGGCACGAATGGCAGCGTCAAGTCAGCGTGACCTCCATTAGAGTGTTTCACCTCAACGCCTCAACTCGTCGCGCAATCACGCATTCCCACGGCCGTGGCGCGCCACGATTCCATGATACCTGATGCTTGTACTTGATGCCATGCTGACGTCGGTGCGCCACCGATTGATTTTGGTGCTCGGTGACGGATCCAGGCAAACATCGTTGGTGTGCATTACCGGTGTCGCGAGAGTCGTTGCGTACATCGGGGCTTTATTTGCCTACGGGCGTATCGAAAGACACGACGGCGACTTCTTAGGTGAGGTGTAGCCGTTCTCTTGCTCATTGGCGTTTACCGGTTGGCCGCTACAAAACCCGTCAGTCCGGACAAGCCCACTCGTCAGTTCGTGGCCGAGACATAGGTTGTGTCAACCCCGCGTGAGAAACTTCTGCCTAATCCACAGCACGCAGTACATGAACCTTACTTGGTGTGTTTGCCGTTTTCTCCTGCCGCCAACTGCGCGGTCGAGAGGTTCTTCGACTATATAAAGGCTGGGGCGTTTGGACCTCGGTGGCTCTGGTGCGTGTGTACCGCAGGTGGAAAATCCTCTGCCGCCACTCGGTTGACATGTGGCCCGCCTTGGCGCAGGTGACCCTCCTCTCCATCCCCTGGCTGTGAGTACAGCACCGGTGGTGTGCGGGCTTGCCGTCGCTCGTGTGTCGCTGTGGTAGCGGTGGGCAATGTTGGGGCGTCCGTGTTGGCGGGGTTGAGGTAGCGTTCCTTATTGACAGGATGTAACGCCCCGCACATGGCGACACGAGCATGAACAAGGTGAGGCTGAGAGCCTTGTAAAATCTAGAATTTCGGCCTTCGGAGGACTCCGGCGGCCGGCGCGATGCAACATCCTACGCGACAGAAAATATACACGAGTTTGTGCTCACTGCTTGCCACCAACGTGTGAGCCTGTTGTTTAGCTTGTCGTGATCGGGCAGGATAGCAGTATGAAAAATTACGTGATCACAATCTCGACGGCGCGTGAATATAGTTGATGGGGCGTGCACCCAGTACGTGGGCTTCGGTGCGATGAGGCTCGGGGCTTCGTCTCCACGCAGGTTACCCGTGTGGTAGTGAGTTCCCATATTGCAAAACCCCAACAATTGTGCATCGCGGTAATCAACATGAGGCAATATCGAGACTTTCCGTCTTGACAATGGTTCCCCTATGTCGGCAATTCTTGAACGAGCGTCCGGGCGATAACTTTCCTTAGCTGTTGTCCTTGATTCCGCAAGAAAATGCGCGTGACTGCGCACACCCTCAAAATGAAGTCAAACACTCTATTTTCCCGAAACCAAGAGGGTGCGTAAATGGACCGATGCGTGCAAGAAAACACGTGGGCGGGGATGAAAACGACCAATTTGTATCGAGGTCAATGTGACTCCTTCGATCGATGAAGCAGATGTGTGTTGGCCTGTGATGGTCAGCGGGCGACGCCTGCTCACAGCGTGGAACATAGTCGTATGTTGTTATCAAGTTCGCGGCAGCTTTTGCCTTTCGTCGTTCTCCCCTGTTCATACCTCACCTTGGACTTCGGGCGCTTGTTTTTGTTTTGCCCAGCACTACCGTCGCCGCCGCTCGTCGTGCTTCTGCGTTATTACGTTTCTCCCCATCTCCCCGTGGGTCACTCATGGGCCATACGTTGCATCGATCAGTCTTATGACCGATGTGCCCGTCAATGGTCAAATTGCTGCTGTTTTCGTTGCTCGATCTGCTGGCCGGCGTGTGCCCCCCCCCGTCGGTCTTCCATCTGTGGAACTGTGAAACCGGCGACGACCTCTGTTCTATTCGCGCTGTGGTTGCATCGGTGAGACGTTTCGGACCTCTTGCCCCGCTCGCAGGGTCCCCGTGGTGGCGTACTCCATAAAGCCCAGCCTCTCCGAATTCAATGAACGGGGCAACTGGTGCGACATCAATGTCGCCATCGACACCGCGCTGTATGTCTACGGCTGCGTGCCCATCATCGGCGCCTTTTTCCTGCCTTTCCAGATGAGGAGGGTCCGGAAGCAGATGAACCTTGATCGGATGCAGGTCTTGCAGTTGCTGTTCCTCTGTCACTGGAACCGTCATCTTCCCTCTTTTTTAAGAGTCGCTGCACAGCGACATATGAAGGAGATGGATCATGTACGACAACATTGTGGCGAGTTCTTACCGACCGGCATTCCGTCACCAGGCAAAGATATTTTATGTGTTTAAGGCTTGAGATTGATCCTAGGCGCACCTAGGTAAGGTCGAGATCTCCCCTTCCGCTCCGGAACGTGCCTGGTGTTGGTCCGGCACAGGCGACAATGTGCCCCGCTGTCTTTGCATTCACCTGTTTTACCAATCCCCTGGGGTCCCACGCCGCTCACGTAACTTCTCACATTGACTTGGCTCCACCACGCGTGCATCCTCGGCGCTCTGGAACTGCAGAAGTCAATATAGTGCCGGCCCGCACTTAAGAACCTCCTATTTTGGGGGAGGCTCAGTTCTTTATTGGCTGCCCCAACCCGAGCACCAGTTCTTATTTGCCAAGTTCTTATTTCGTCGTCCATTCTTCTCCAGAAAAGGGGCGTTCTTGTTCTTACAGTATTTGAACACCATTTGCTATATTGTCGGCTGTCAACCATGAGCAACACTAGTACTGCTGTCGATAAAAGAAAATACCAAGGCATGGAGCAGCAACTGTCAACCTTCTTGGTCCACAAGGGTGACGTTGGTCTTGCGTACCCTTCCTCATCTACTAATGCTCTCAATTGCAACCGCAAGGGGGAACACTGAAACGTAACGTGTCCCTTGCAAGTAGAGTGACAAATTTACGTGTCCCATGCATCCAGGTGACAACGGCAAATACCGGAAATGCCGAAATGCTGCCAAAATTCCCTGAACCAGAATTCTACCCTTCAAAGAGTCAGCCAAGTATGCGCATGAAGGAGCGCACACGCAGCCATTCGTCTGAGGTACTCCCCCACCTCTCCTGGTTTTCGGAGCTAGCCGGCAATTCGGACCCAACCGTTGTGCGATACGTAATCATCTCCGTTAGGATTTGAGGAGGACGTAGTCTAAAGCTGTGGAGAAGCACTGCGCCTGTTCGCTCCTTCGTACTGCTTGAGACTGACTTGGGCCCTCCAAAACTCCGACAGGTACGAACAAACTCCTTTGTATGTGGTCGAAGATGGACTGCGTCTTTGTACAAGCCCAACATGCCACCATGCACAAAATACTGCTGCTGCCGTTCACCTGTCGCTGCCCTTCCACGTCTACCTGTCCATGACACATGCTGCCACTTAATGCGACAACATCTGGGAACAACACGGACACAGGGAGTACTCCCCCTACCCATACACACACCGTCAAACTTGAACAACCTCTCATTCCTCCCTTTCCACATACAGCTGATGTAGATGCATGAAATGATACACTTTGTCATTACTTATGGTCCGCGCTGTCTACAAATGGGAAAGGTAGCCGTACTTTCTGCAGACACACGGGCGAGAGAGGTGACGATACCCACTGCACACACCCACATGCCAGTGATGAAACCCCACCAACACGCCTCTCGAGTCTATCGGCGGCCACGTCAGGAGGCAATGATGCGATAATGATCTCCCGTGCCCTTCGCACATTTAATGACGTGCAATTACACAACACCGTCCCGCACATGCTCCCATACATCACACATAAAAAATAAGTTGATTACGAAAATATACACACCCCGAGACGCGCTTGCTCCGCAACCACATAAGGGTGCCATATTAGAACACCCGACAATCCGAGTTCCCCTAAATCTTCCGTCTACAACTTCCCAACATAACATGCAGATAGATACACAAGATGGCTACCAAACTGCCTTGTTGAGCCTGTTACCCACAGGGGAGATATCGCTGTATGCTGTCTGGGAAACCGTAGACATACAGGTAGCTGTCGCTCACGCTATGGATTCATTGCTAATCTATCTCAGACTTACTTCTATAGATAGAGATGGATTTGTTGTGTGATATTAAGAAAAAAAACAAAACAAAACAGGAGCCTACAGCCGCATCCGAATCTCCGCTGTACTTGTCTAAGGGCAACTTCATCTTGCGCGTACTCTGGTCTAGCTCCAGCTGCACACAGTAGTCGTACAGGTGGCGAGTGTCCTTCTGAGATTGTTGAGTGATCAGCCCTCCAAACCACCCCATGCCCAGCCTAACGAGCACTCCACGCCGCAAAAGCAATCTGTCAAGAGCAACCGGTTTAGCTTCTTGAATACGAAAGCCTGCCGGGATCTCCATTCCCTGTATCCCACCCTCCGGGTCTTGTGGGTCCATGCTGTCGTCGTCGTCCAGAAGCGCTAGCTCGTCGGTCTGGGGTTGAGAGATGTCTGCGAACGAGGCAACGGGAAACACAAGAAGTTAGGGTGTCACGTCGCCAAACTCAACCTGAACTTATCATAATTTGAGTGTAGCCGTGCGCGGAAACAAGCTAACGTCAACATGAAGGACATCGTCATCAACAAAAAGAAGATGATGAGTTGGTTTTGTGCAAAACAAACTTACCGCCGTCGTCTTCATCGCTGGAGTCAACGCCCTCCATGAGCGTCTCACGTCCTCCATCGCCCTCCTCCGCCCGCCCCTCAGGCTCATCGTTGCCGTTCTCCGAACCTTGTTCGTCGTCGCTACTGTCTTCATCGTTAGCGAAGGTATACGGCTTGTCCAAACCCTCCAAGGTGATTCGATCATCGCCCGAGCCGTCCACGGTCATGGCCATCCCGCACTTTTGGAAAAGACGGTATCGGTACGCCTGTTGGCTGTTGAGTCTTGCCATGGCCGCTCCCATCCACTGAGTGATCAGGACGCGCCCATCAGAAGCTCTCAGCGACGCGGTTTCCCACCTCTCGAGGTTGTCCGACTGCTCGAGCAATATGTCCATCTGCCTCCCGACTTTCACCTTGAGAAATCGTCCGGCTCCTGCATCAACTGGCTGCACCTCGTCCGTGCACTCCGAAGGGCCATACCAGGCGGGAGTGTTGCAGTGCTTCGCAAGATACTCCTTGAACTCGTCCGTGGTCTGCGCGTGCAAGTTGTCCATGATAAGAGTGGACCTCGCCTTGGGGAGCTCACTCCGCCCGCGCATCACACTTTTCTCGGGGGCACCCAGGGGCACGACGCGTGCGTACAATGCCCACCCTCCCCTTCTAAAAAAATACAAATATTGATAGATATGTGGGGTATGTACCCCTCCCAACTCCAATACTCTGTACTCTGGGATCACTCCCCCCTCTTCCCTCCCTCCCCTTGCGAGTATTCTTATCTGGCAGCCGCTGCATTGCTGTCGTTCTAATTTGTAGCAGCAGTTTTGCACCTCAGGTGTGTGTTCCCATGTTCCTAATAGGGCGTGAAGCTGAGCACGTGTTCTTATCGGAAAATTCTTTAGTTTTGGATTTTTTGAGCATCAGATTCTTAAGTGCCATATTCTTAACGGAAATGCTAAATACGACACCGGTGTCGTGAATCCTTAACTACGACACCATCCCGATCTCAGCCCAGAGGGCTCCATTAATGGCGTAACACTAGATTCGTTGGAAAGCCACGGCTCTCAGCTATCTCGCAAACTTTGTTTCAGCTACATCTGCCTCGTGGTTGCGGAGATATGATACATGTAGGGACCCTCGGTGGGGTTCCTCTCTGGGCTGAGATCGGGATGGTGTCGTAGTTAAGGATTAACGACACCGGTGTCGTATTTAGCATTTATATATTCTAAAGTGCGGGCCGGCACTGTAATCCAGTTCTGGCCGCCGATTTTAGAGCCTCTAGACTATTCCGAAAACTCTCAGGCGACGAGGGCTACCTCTACCGCTACACGAAAGAATTTTCGCAGTTGCCAACTCCGGCGCAGGTGAGCGTGTGCCGTTTGTTGTGGGTTGTGATCTTCCGGTTGCTTTCTCAAGTTGACTGTGATGCTGCTGCTATTTTAGTGCTACAGGTCTGGGGTTGCTCATTGTTGACTACTCTTTTTCGTGAAATCTGTTGTCGTTGGTGTCGAATTGGTGATGACAATGCTGAAGGTTGATGTCTTCATCGGGTTGAATGTAGATGATGCTGTGCCTCGGCGTGGGTGTTGACGGTTTCGCTGATCCGAAGACAAGTTCTCCTCGAATACACTCGGCGCCTTCTCTTCAAAGCTCTTGTTTTCGTTGTAGACGAGTGGTTGGCCTGGTGCTTCACCTCGAAATCAAGCACGGAGGGACGAGCTTGTCCTTTGCAAGACGAGCAGTCTATGTACTTAACAAGCTGATAGCAGCTTTCGTGCTGGAACAACCCGATAACTCTCCGCTTTTCGTTAGGCATGGCGCGGGCTGGTCGGAATACCTGCACAACGCTCACAGGGCGGGAGTTCTGTCTGCAAGCAGCTGATGATGCAGAGTGCTCGTGCACGCGGCGTGTGTTTTTGCTAGCGAAGAGGCTTTCTCCCGCTTGCCAATGATGATATGTGTAATCTGGAAGAATCCCTTCGTCTGACTGGATATTCCTTTTTCCTCCTTGTATTCTACGCGGTCATCATCGACAGGTGCGTCATGTGTATGTACAGCTTGAGAACACGGCAGGGGCGTCTCTCCGGCTTGTTCTTCGCCACTCGTCTAATGGAGAATTTCGCATACGTAAACTATTGCAGTTGTTTTTTGTCGCTGTCACTGCTGATTTTGTTGGTGAGGGTGGTTCGTCGTTAGCGTGCTCACCCTGCGTCGTCCACCTGAATACATACGCCAGGCGGATGAAAGGCGACCGTACTCTGGCATGCTGGGAAACGCGCGAGGAATCTCGGCAGTATCTTGGACTCCTCTCATGGAAGGTTGAAATAATTACATGCAGAGTCCTGCGATACACGCACCCTGGTAATTTTTTTATTGGACAGGTTCATTAGGTGCAGGAGGTGAACATCAGCGGAGCTGTTCGGAACAAGATTCTAACCACAGAGATCACCAGGTATTTCGCTGTTCGTGGGTCCTTCCTGCTCTCGTCTTGAGTCCTTTGTGTTGTTGTTGCCGCCAATGCACTGCAACACTAATGAAATACAAGCTTGATCGTGGTCGTCAAGTAATATTGTCGGCTCTCTCCCTGACTTGGCAACCACTATATCGCAAAGCTACAATATCTTCGACGAGGCCATGTCTACCGTCCTCAAGATCATGGATACCAACTTCAGCTTCGAGTTCAACAAGACAAAGGCGTTCAAGAACTTGGAGCAAGTGGTGAAGGAAGAAGCTGAGGAGCTCCAACTGCTGAGGAAAGTAAGGCCAAGGATGTCGCATAGGAATGACTGCTCTAGGGAAGTATTGCTGTGGTTAGGCCTGTGATTTGTGCCGGTTGCTTGAGTTAGGGTTGGTTTGTGTGTGGGTTTTATGTTGTTGTGGAGTTGTACGAAAGGGAAAGCGTGCCAACGTGGGAAAGCGGACATAGAGGAAGCAGACCGGCCTAACAAGGCGCCAGGTTGGGAACTTCTTGGGCTTCGGAAGTTTCCTGTGTACATCTCACCAGGCGTATAACACAGCTCAACACTGTTGAAGTGTTTTAGACTTTTATTTCCGGCGAGTTTGTGGTTGAGATCCAGCGTCGCAAGAGGGTTTGCCGTCGTTGTAGGAGATAGCCTAATGTAGTGTCTACTCTGCCACACGATGGCGCGAAGCTATTTAGCTGCAAACCGCAGTCAAAGCGAAACGAAGTGTTGTCTGAAGTGGGGCCCTCAGGAATGGAAAAGGTGGGTAGGTAGTACAGTTTTTTTGTGGGGACTGCTGAATTTACTGGTGTTGTCGTGTTGGTTGTTGTATGAAGGACCAGTAATACACGTGGCTGGCCTGTGCAGCTCCACGATCATCTACGGAGAGGGAAATGCCTGCGGGTTGTATCCTGAAGAATATTGCCCTCTGTTTCACGAAAACATCAACAAGCGGGGCGTCCCACAGCACGATCGACGTTGCAACTACAGAGCGTTTCTAATGATCTGCATCAACGGGTATAAGAGGAAAGGGATACACTAGAAATGAAGTTTTTATTATTATTTTTTTATTTTTTTTTGCCTTCCGACAATTGCAGATGTACCTCAGAAAACTTTCACTTAATGTCTCATACTCTACATGAATATTAAACCAATACGAAGTACAACAACATATGTAGGACTTATTTCTACTGTCATTTACATCGTAAAAGTATCTTTTTTATTGTTATGTGTCTCGTCATTCGACCTATGGCAACATGTTCTCTCTGTTGGAAAATCTCGACAGTCCCCCAGCAGAAGGTCATTCGAGTACGGTGATGTTCCAGTCGTCTCTCTTGTGCCCACGAACAAAAAAGGTGAATCAACTTCCCGAAGCGGAAAACGTGGAGCCGGACTCCAAGGGCTTGCTGAAGTTCATCCGGAGAGCCACAGACTCGGCTGCGACGGGGTCCTCCAAGGACGGATCGGAGTCGAGACGTTCGATGACGCGGAGGTCAAGCCCGGCGGCGCTAAGGTCAAGCCACCTCGGGGCGAAGGAGTCGCTTGAGGATGAGCTTGACGACGTCTTCGATGATGACGTGAGAAACACTGCTGTTGTTTTGGCCGCCATCGTTGTCACCGTGTAGTTGTTGCTGTTGGCGGTGACGGGATGACGCTGGGACTGTGAAGATCTTGACGAGGACTGCCATGATGCTCGAGAGCATGGACTCGAGTTTTGGGTGTGGGTTGATGTTGTTGAACCCGCGTTCCAGAAGAACGTCCGCCAGGCGCAAGCCTGCCCCTTTGTTTCCCCGCTGTGGACAGGTGAAAGTTTCGATTAAGTGCGACTACCTGCCCTGCTAAGCCCTCAGCACCGTGGTAGTGCACCGAACAGTGGAGGAAGGGAGCTGCAGGGAGCAAACCTGACGCTACGTTACAGAGAGGGAACACGGCCGTGGAAAAATCATTCGGCTGTCCTGAATTCACGCTCGAAGTTTGCCGGTGTCCCTTGATTGACACCTTCCCGGAAAGAGCACCGACGCAAACGTTCGGCGCAGATTCGGGCGCAAGAGAAAGAGAATATTTTGACCAATAACTCCTTCGTGACACCCGTTGGCGCGTCTACATGCAGAGTAGTGCGATGTGACGCCCAGCCTTGATGGGATAACAATACAGACAGTCTCCTTTGCCGGATGTTTCCTTCTTGAGGGAAGGGTGCAGCGGGTCGGCGAATCTCGCACCCGGCCAACTAACCTCGATATGGCATAGATGGGAAGCCATCATGGCAACAGCGAGTTGAACAATCGACAATAGGCAAAAGCTGTTGTTTACTCTGTAACAACAAAACCCCGTACTACTTCTGCTTGTTGTCTCTCGGCTTTGTGCCAAAACGTATAACCTTATTCTCGGATCCCCGCGCTTACAAGGTGCGGCACCGCTACCCTTTCATCAAACCCGTCTTCAGAGCTCGCCCGACACGTCGGAGGGGTTTGAAGTAAATAGTACCAAGGAAGGCATGCAACAACATGCTCATCCTCTTGTCTTTTGTCGGCCTTCGTCATACAACTATTTTCTCGTTTTCCAAGCAAGAATCATTGCAATTGTTTTGGGAGACATGCAACTTCGTGAACTGATCGACGAGCAGATGGTTCTCGACAACTCCATTCGCGCACCCAAGATCAAACCAAATCCAAGTCTTTGCTTATAGGAAACGGTGCATGGAGACCGGATTCTTGTGTGGTTTACGGGGTTCCTCGGTGGCCTCTTAATCCCCCTTCTCTCTTTCCAATACGACACCCCTTCCCGCTCGTCCCGAATCAACAAAACTACCCAGCCTGGAAACTCGAGCGGAGGTGGCAACGAGAAGCTATGCGGACACCGGAGAGGCGCGGGAAGCCAATGAGACCCAAAACCAGGAGGAGAAGAAGACCGAATCTGCTTTGCTCCGGGCGCGGTGACGGGGACGAATAGTATGCCTGCGGCGGGAATCGAGGCAGAAGTGGGAGTGGGGACGGGGGAGGCGGTGGCAGGATCGTCTTTCGTGGCCGCCCGCGTGCGCGTGGCGACCATAGCGCCCGCTTCAGGGGCGGCTTTGACATTGTTGTTGTCTTCACATTAAACCGTATGTCAGTTGCTAAATGCCAAAATCTAGCGAAAGACTC